GAGAGAGAGAGAGGTACGCTGCAACCACCCCACTAACACTCCCCACCCCCCACCCCTGAAATGCAGCCCCCCCTCAAGCCAACCCCATGAAAAAACAAATAGCAGATCACTGTTTTCTCTGCGGATTCGGGAAGATCTCGACAAGCGCAGTCCAACCCCATCATCAAAAAATAAATAAATAAAAAATGACCCGGTTTTGGGCCCAACCGGATTTCCGGTTGGACCACCAGGGTTCCAACCGGCCCGGTTGGGTCCGGTCCGGTCCAACCGGCCGGTGGCCGGTGCAGCCCTGATTTTTTCCTTCTTTTTTTTTGTTCCCCCCTTGCCCTGCCTGTCTGTCTTTGTTTCTGATCTGTTTCTTCCTGGTCCTTTTTTTTCTTTGTTGTTGCTCTTTTGTAAGATTTCTCTTCATTTCGTCTCCAGTTGTTATTGCTTTCCTGTTCTGCTTTTGGTTGTGGTCCTTTTTTCCTTTTCCGGTTAGGGCCTCGCTGATTGCCGCCAGTTCTGTTGCGTCCAAGAAGGTGAAAGAGAAAGAGGGGAAAAAAAGGTGGTAAGAACAGGAGGGAAGGGAACCGCTGAGCTAGTCCAGAGTCGCTCTCTTGATGTGGGGACCACTACTGTTATTTACACAGTTGTATGGTGGGCGTCCTCGCTTCTGCTTGTGATTGCAGCTTGTACTATCACCTAAGGCAATAATGAGCTCTCGGGAGCATGGCTCTGCGAACGTGTGAGAGATGAGACGGCGTTGCCGGTGCCTTTTTCTTCATCGATGCAGAAAGCTGCAGGATCAGCACATCATGTCCGTCCATTTGGCGCTCTTGCTATCTTTTCGTCTTTTGTCCATGGCAAGATTTGCGTCGGAGTCGCCCGCCCACCGGGGTGGTGAGTAATTACTATATTAATAAGTACTTATTGCACGGATGAGCATCGTTCGCTGATGTGCATTCTGCTCTGGTCGTAGGATGTAGAGCGCCTCCATGTCAGTCGTCAGTCGGTTGTCGTCAGGAATGAAGAATGCTGTCCGTATATCTTCACAGCCCATACTACATTTGCATACGGCGAAAAATACACGCTCGGAGCCTGTTCTTTTGTGTAAGGCGGGACTGCTGACTGCCAGTAGTGAAGCCGACATGTTGATAAGCTTCCTGCGTGTCCGGAGTCTGTTCTTCCTTCGTGTACGGTGGGACTGCTAACTGCGAGTTGTGACACCAACACGTGGATGGGCTTGTCGATCGGCGATTTGACATTGGAATTGATGGGTGGGCGAAAAATGGACGGGGCTGGTGAATAAGAATGTTTTGATTGTTCCATGTGTAATGAAGTGGTTCTTCGTATCTTTTCCCCTGTACATGGAATGATGCAGAACTGTCTAGCTATCTATGGCTGCAGAATGGGGGTTCACTCACCTCTCTCTCTCTCTCTCTCTCTCTCTCTCTCTCTCTCTCTCTCTCTCTCTCTCTCTCTCTCTCTCTC